AGGTGACCCCTGCTCCGTGGACTCCCCAGGTCTGTGGCCATTGTCACTTCTGACAGAGTTATTGCTGTCTGTGCAGAGTGGTATTGAATGGAGGGGCGGGGGTGTCCTGTATCCTCTCCTCGGAGCCCTGCCGAGGCCCTTTGTCCGGAGTGACGTCAGGGCCAGAAGTTCGGGGCTGTTTGCCATGAAAAAGTAGCTTCTATTCCTGTTTCTTTTGTCTGGTGACCTGACCCAGCAAATTGCTTTCTGTTCCCTGAGCGAAGGGGGAAAACACAAGGGCTAAACATAGCCTTGATTGTTTTTACTTTTCTGATATTGTACTTCTTCAAGCGATAAAGATAGTAACAATTAAAATATTATCTGCCCCTCAGACAGACCAAGTGGCCACCTGGCTGGTGTTGACACACAGTAGCAGCACTCGGTATTGGACAGGGCTTTGTGTTTCCAGAGTATCTTAGACCTCACACTGCCAGCCAGACTCCCAGCCGCTTCGCACGCAACTGTCCATGGCCTCGGGAAAGAGGGAAGTTGAAGGCAGAGCCCCTTCGGTGGACCTCGCTGGCCGAGGAGGGGTTACTGGGGCCAAGGATAAGGGGCAAGTGGCGCTCATGGCGTCAGATAACTGCCCATGGCGGGCTCTGCAGCTTTTATCTGCACATTATCTGTTCCTTCCTCTACCCACCACTGGCTAAAGTCTGCTCTGTGCCAGGCTCCACGCTGGGCATTTGTGGGCTGCGCTGGGTCTATGCTCAAGGGCTTATAGCTCCGTGGAAGCAGACGTGTAAACAGATGATTAGGGTTCAGTTAACATCTGAGCTGTAAGATTGAAAGTCAGTCCAAGAGCCGTGGGCGCCCAGTGGCTAATGTGGGAAAGGCACATGAGCAGAGAAGGTGATGTTGGAGTTGGCTCTTAAATGATGAGGAAGAGATTCTTTCTGGAAGGATAAAGGCAGGAGAACAGTGCAGGCCTATACACAGGTGTCAGGGCTTGAAAGAGCTGGTGTTTGGGGGCAAGCTACAGATTCACTGCAGACACATGGCTCTCGCGTTTAACCAGTGGGCCTGGTGGAGAACGGAGTCTTCGTCATCCCCAAGGCACAGGAATCTTACTGCTAAGGTCATAGAAGGTCACCCTTACAACAGAGCAGAGTGCTTCCCACAGGCAGGCAGGAGCCCGTTAGAGTAGCCATCCAACCGCAGGCCCCACGGGGATTTTGACAGTCGACCTAAACAGCCGGAGCTCCCCCTCCTGCGTGTAGATGTTGGCTGTGTGCGTTCCCACAGCTGTTTCGTGAATATTCGTTTTATAAGAAATATTCTTCAGGGCTGTGTACACAGACCAGAAGGGGTGTCCTTCCCGGGCTCTTCCAGGGATCGTCCAGGATGGTTTTGATTCTGCCTGCTTCTTGTCTGACTTCTGATGTCACAGGAAGTTCGTTGTGCCTGGAGTAGGGTGAACGGGGCAGGCGGCGAGTAGATGGGTCTGGACGGCAGGTCAAAACTTTTCTGTTCTTTCTTGGAGGCCACGGGCGGCTGTATGGGGACAGACATGACAAGTGTGGGCCTCGGGAAGTTCTCTGGAGGCAGTGAGTGGGTGAGCCTGGAATGGGGAGGCCTGAGGGGCCCCGTCAAGAAGCACCAGGATCATGGGGTGGCCGCTGGGGAGGAAGGGCGCTGCCAGGTGAGAGGGACTGAACCTTCATGCTTCACCGGCTCCGAGGTCCCCTTTCTTTTCGTGACTTCCCTGGAAATGGGGACAGTTCCGGGGCAGGGAAGTTACAATGGAATGAAAAGTGGCGTCCTTCGGGGGTGGGATCAGTTCTTTTTAGTTTCAGGGTTCCGCAGGGCCTGGAGACTGCCTGTAGTGTCCCTCGGGTTCCTGAGGCAGGGCCACTGTGGCTCCAGGTGGGGACCCTCACTGCTCTGTGGCTGGGCCTGCTGGGTCCTTCCTTAGTCACATTCCTGGCCCATCTGGTGCCTTAATGCCTTGTCCCAAAAGAGAAGTTGGTGGCCAGCATTATTCTAAGGGAACTCCCTGAAAGACCGAAGGAGCAAAACCCAGTGGAGGTTGGGATCATAGGCCCTGACCCTGGCATAGCACCAGGCGGCTTCGTGGCCATGTCCCCCACACATGTGGAAATATATTTGTCCTGAAAGAGAATGTAGAAACTATAGCAAAACAAATAGGAAAAAAAAAAATCAGCTGGCTCTCTCCCATTCAGTTATGAACATTTTGGTTTATTTTCAAAAGACTTTATTTGACAGACACACAGCGAGAGAGGGAACACAAGCATGGGAGTGAGAGAGGGAGAAGCAGGCTTCCCGCTCAGCAGGGAGCCCGATGCGGGGCTTGAAGCCAGGACCCTGGGATCATGACCCGAACGAAGGCAGAGGCTTTAACCCACTGAGCCACCCAGGCGCCCGGTTTATTTTCTTGTAATCATCACATATAACATACATATTTTACAAAATAGGGATCATGCTATTTATCCAGTTTTTCTATCCTGTTTCTTTAGGCTTCGAATTACGTAATTAACATTTCTCCATATCATTAACATTCTTTGGAACTGTACTGTCTTCATGCTCCTTATTATTCCCTGATCATTTATGTCACCAGCCCGACTGGAGGGCGTTTTAGTTGTGTTTATAATGTTGCTGTCACTCGTATCACTTTTTCTTTTTAAGATTTATTTATTTGAGAGCAAGTAGGCGTGAGAGAGCATGGGCGGGGGGAGGGGCAGAGGGAGAGGGAGAAGCAGGCTCCCCACTGAGCAGGGAGCCCGACTCGGGGCTTGATCCCAGGACCCTGAGATCATGACCTGAGCCGAAGGCAGACACGCTTCACCGACTGAGCCACCCAGGCACCCACTTGTGTCACTTTGAAGAGCATCGTTACACACAAATCTGCCCTTTTTTCTAAGGATGACTTTTCTTCTTGTAAATCAGCTAACAGTGACTCAGTTGATGTTAGCTTGTATTTCTTTTAATTTTACTTTATTATGAGTTTACTGATCTTTCAGTTGCTGACGAATGTCAAATTGAAAGTGTTTTAGAAGAATCACGGCTGCTCTAGGGGCAGTGAGTAGTGAAGACATATTTTGAACAGCATAAACGCTACTTGCGAAAACGCAGCTTATGGAAATACTTTATCAGATTTTGTTAAAGGGACATGCATGGAGACCTGCTGTCTACCAGGGCCCAAGAAGATTCCTGGAGGAGGTGAATTGTACATTTGGTGACTGTCCTGTTTTCTTCCCAACCGGTTTAAGGAAGAGCCTCTCCGGCATCTCCAGCTTCTGAGGCAGTCTCCTGGGAACAGCCTCTGGGCCGTTCCTCCTGTGTCCCCTGTCCAGAGTCCCAATCCCTTAGGCGTGTCTCAGGACTGTGGCAGGGTGGTCTACGTGAAGGAGCAGGCACATTTAGCCCCGATTTGGCTCATCTTTGGCTTGCAAGGCTCCTTTTGAGCCTCACTGGCCATTCCCTTTGAACCTGTCCAGTAGCTACGGACACTGAGCACAGGCTCAGTCCCTCGCTGTGTCTCTCAGTGTCTTTTAAGAAGTGGCCCCCGATTGAGGAGACGGACTTGTGGTCCTTGCTGACTGGTGCACTCACGTGGGTTTCACTGTGGTTTGTCTGAGGGACAGCCCGTTCTGCATGACTCAGAAGGTCACTGAGGACAGCCCCGATGTTGGGCTCCCCTTCGCTGTGGTGTAGTGAAGAGAGCAGGGCGCTGGGGTGGGCCAGCCTGGGTTAGCCTCCAGACGATTTTTAGCTGTGTGGCCCCAGGCTACTTTCTCACCCTCCGTATGGGGCACCCGGTGGCTTCCAGCCGCCATCCAAGATATCTGCTCTGTGACCACTGAAAGTGCTATAAGAATCCATGTGCATCAGACACCTGCCCGAATGTCATTTCATGTTTTGCTTCTGTCCTGACGACTGATGGCCTCTAGACGTAGTTTCTGTGTATTCTCATGTGTACTGTTCATAAATGTGTGCAGATTTTAAAAAAACAGGAACATGCTGATATGTGGATCCCTGGTAGCACACGCTGTTTCTTAGCTTTGTTTTTGTATTATAACCTCGAGTACAAGAACTCGGTTAGGTGTATCTGTGCCCTCCTAAGGTCCTCAGCACAGTGCCTGATCCTTTAGCAGAAAAACACCAAATAGTTCCTGAATATTTCACTAAAATAAAGGTTCAGGTGCAAAATCAGCATTTCCTAGTGGGGTTAGCTTATTTATTCATATGTTCAAGTGGAGACCTGACGATGTAAGTTTAAATCATCCCCTTGTGTCTGTGCAGCCGAAGACACGCTTCTGCAGATTTTGACCACTTTAAACATCCTCGGTCTCGGTGAGGAATCAGGTGAGCACAAGGAAGGTGCTCCATGATTGGCTGTCATTGCTGATGATGTTGATATTATGGCCATTTTGATAGAGGGAGGCACAAATCAATACAGTTTCCGGTTTCTGTTGTCAGCGAGTGTTTTAGAGATAGAATTCCGAAGAGCTAACCTGGCGGCACTGCCCGCCCCATTTGACCATGACCCTTCCAAGTACCAAAAGACACCTCCTGGGTCGTGGTCTTCTGCCAGGGCGTCAAGCCCCAGCTTGAGCGGGGACGGAACTGCTACAGGCCGGGGAGGGTTGGGGCAGGTCGGCTTCCCACCTAGAAGAGGGGAAAGTGTTTGGGTGATAGCTGTGGTTTTGGACTTTCCCGGGAGGCAGTGTGGACTGTTGGAAAGAAAGCTGCGCCAGGAGGCCTGGGCGGGGGGTGTGTGCATCCCCGGCCTCGCTCTGCACCTCACTCCACACCGTGGGAATCACACCCCTGCTCTGGGCCTCCGTTTCTCATCCATAAAGCGAGGTTGGACTGGAGGGGCTTTGAAGGGCCTTCCCGGCTCCAAAGTCCTGTCTAAAATGGGCTCTTGGTTGTGGAGATGGAGGGCTGGCCTGGAGGCCTTCTCAAGTCCTGTTTTCTCTCTGTCGTTTCTGAACCAGAAAATGACAGATGGCGAGAGCTGGACAGGAAATGCCCTCTTCAGATCGGGCACCCGAGCGCCGGCATCTGGGAGTGCCTGCCTGAGAAGTGTCAGGATGGCCCCCTGTGGCACCGGGAGGCCGCGACTGCCTGTGCCGTGACCAACCTGATCAAAGACCTCAGCCTCAGCGACCACAACGGGAACCCCTCAGCACCCCCCAGCAAGCGCCAGTGCCGGTCACTGTCCTTTTCCGATGAAATGTCCAGCTGCCGGACATCGTGGAGGCCCCTGGGCTCCAAGGTCTGGACTCCCGTAGAAAAGCGACGCTGTTACAGTGGGGGCAGCGTCCCGCGCTACTCTAACGGCCTCAGCACCATGCAGAGGAGCTCCAGTTTCAGCCTCCCCTCCCGGGCCAACGCGCTGTCCTCGCCCTACGACCAGGCGGGATTCCACCACCGATTCGGAGGTCAGCCTTGCCAGGCGGCACCGGGCTCGGCTGCCTGTGGACAGGCGGGTGACCTCTGGAGCCCCGACCCGAGCCCCGGGGGCGGGGGCCGGCTCGACATGCAGCGGTCCCTGTCCTGCTCCCACGAGCAGTTTTCCTTTGCGGAGTACTGTCCACCCTCAGCCAGCAGCACACCTGCCTCCACGCCAGAGCTGGCCAGACGCTCCAGCGGGCTGTCCCGGAGCCGCTCGCAGCCGTGTGTCCTGAACGACAAGAAGGTCGGAGTCAAGCGGCGGCGCCCGGAGGAGGTGCAGGAGCAGAGGCCTTCCCTCGACCTGGCTAAAATGGCACAGGTAAGAGCCCCAGCCCCACGGGAGGCATTGCACAAGCATCTCGGTGCTCACGGGGGCCGCTGCTGGTCCTGGCCTGTCCCGGGCAGAGGCGGAGCACCACTTTCAGAAGTGCCCAGAAGCGGTTAGGAGTCCTTGTTTTTTAAGTTCTCTTCAAAGAAAGATGAAATTGAATTTTTTTAAGTGTCTCTTTCTCTCCGTTTAAAATCAGAGACACAATGCTAGCGGTATTGGAGCAGACAGATGGTGAGAGGTGGGGTGTTGGGGAGGCATAGACCATTGTCATCAAACCCCAGTGGTCCCCTTCCAGCACTTCGCTGGAGCCTCTGTCCCCGGAACCCAGCCCTGCGGCACAGGCCAGTATTCACTGACACTTGGATGATGCTGGCCCTGAGGTCAGGACCATGGGTCATGGTTTCAGAGGGTTGGAGATGGGGGGAAAGCACTTATTCCTTTGATTAAACTGTCAGCATCACGAGACCAGAAAGTATGACTGCCATCCTCTGTGCCACCTTTGTAATCATCCCCACTCTTGGCTAGGCGAGGCCTCAGGCCACATGCCCTGGCCCTTGCACTCTGTCCTCTGTGTCTTGGAGTCCTGCCTTGTGCTAACACAGAGCTCAGAGACCGGTTCGAATGAGATGAACTTGGAGTGAATGCACTATCTATGGGACAGTCTCCGAGCCTGGGTGCCAGCTGTGTTTGGTTCTTATGGAGGAGGCCTGGGCAAGACCGTGAGGTTCAGGGACTAGGGTTGGCCCTTGTGACCCAAAGTGGGGACAGGTGGGTGGGGTGGGCAGGGTGCAGTCTCTCTCTTCTGTGTCCTCACAGGGGACCCTCCGGTGCTTCATGGTACGGTTTAACTGTCGACTTTGCATCTTGTCATGGAAGCACTGGTCACCGCGGTGTGTTAAGGGATGGAACCTGGCTGGCCTTGCTCATGCAGCATGTGGCCCCCTCCAGGCAGGCAGACTCACGTACCCCTCCTCTCTGTGGGCAGGACGGCCTCCCTTCAGTGCCCGGAGCTGCTTTTGCCTTAGAACAGAAATGCTGCTTCTGTAGATGGCATTTCCTTCATTTCTCTAGCCGCCCCCCCCCCAGCCTAGAGGTCCCCACCCCTGCCAACAAAAGAAGAGGGGCAGGTATCTTGAGCCTTGAGCATGCACCTGGCCCCAGAGTCCAGACTGTCTGGCCCTTTGCTCTGGAGCCCGGCCCTGGCCTGGGGCAGCTAGAGGACAAGCTCATGACGTGCTCTGCCCTCCCCTGTGCCGCTGAGGCTCCACCCTCGCCCCCGCACTGTCCAGGTTCCATCACTCCTCCACAGGTGTCCCTTTCTTTTTCCTGAGTAGCGGACATTCTTTGCTTTACTAGCTAGGCAACATCAAACCCACGTTCATTTACTTGGACACATGGCTAGAATTTTCCTTCCCTGGAGAAATTTAAATAGGTAAAAAGGCTGGAAAGGTGACAGATTTAGGTGACTTTCGGAGGGAAACCCAGAGCCCTGAGTCCTGGGTGCGATAAATTGCTTCAGTTAAATTTTTAATGTTGAGCTTATTTTATTAGCTAATAAGCTAGATAGGTAATAAAAGCAGCTTACACATGTTATTCTGTTTTACCGCCCACAAATTGGAGTAACAGCACGGGCATCACTGGAGACGTTTCCCATCCTCACTTGGGTAGAAGCTGTTTGAAAATATATTGCTTGGTGGGGCTGTGCCCAGATGTGTATTGGCTCCAGGCAGGCCTCCAAGATCCTGGGGAGGCCGCCCTGATTCCGCCTGGTTTTCTCTAGCCAAGGCCTGGGTAGGGCAGAGTCCGGGGAAAGTGAAGACGGGGCCCCTGGGAAGGGCGTATGCCAGAAGGGGGAGGCCGGAACCCTGGGGATGGACCCTGAACCAAACCACCCCAACCAGGCCTCCGGAGCCCCAGGCAGCCCTCTCTCCACGGGGCCCGGCCTGCTTTGGCTCCCCTGCTGGATAATTTATGGCCTCACGAGGTAGACCTTGCTTTTACAGGAGCTTTGAAAGCCAGGCCTGAGGCAGCCCCTGTACCTTTGCAGAGAGCCCTAGATCCATCCTGGAATGTGAAAGACCCTGTGCCTGGGAACCCCATGAGCTGAGCCTTTCACTGGCGTTACAGACACCTGCCCATGGCCGGGTGACAGCTGATATGGGACTGCTGCCCCCAGATACCAGCCTCTGTGGGCTGCGGCTTTCTGAGTGTTTGTCACTGCTGGGGAGGTAGCAGGGTCTGCTCATCTCTGGGAAGACAGGCTTGCACCAGGGGTCAGCGCAGCTCTGTTTCTCCAAGCTGGATCTTGGACTCTTTTTCATAGGTCTTGTGATCTTAGTTTAGAAATACTCACTTATGGCGGGGTGGGGGGGTGGCGGGCAAGGGATGCTAATTGAGCATCTTTGTGAAGGAGCCCCTTTGTGTAGATCTGGGACCAGATGTGTAAGATGGGTGCACAGTGCCTTTTCGGTTGGAGTGACTGGGAATTCTGACAAACCCCAGCTTCCCGCAGGCACTGACTGGGGCTGGGCACACCTGCCGGCCTGTGATGAGCACACAGGAGCTCTCCTCCAGCTGTTAGGGTGCCCAGAGCAAGGCGGGTACCCAGAGCCCCTCCAGCCTCGTCCATTATGGCCCCTCCTGAGATCCTTCTGGAACACGGTGTTCACTTTTGGGTCTGCATTTGGAGGCTGCAGAGGGGGCATCAGCACATCAGAAGGCCTCTAGAGGAGTGGCAGGAGGCTGGCAGCCCAGGGCACACAGCCTCCCATTTCTGCACAGCAGATCATACCGCTGCTGCCTCTGCCGCCGCTCCTGCCCCCTAGGACTGTCGGGGTCGGGGAGAGTAAGGGAAGTAGTGTGCATGCGTGCGCAAGTGTGTGAGATGTGTCGGCGTGTACGCGTGCATCCATATCTATGGAGACGTCTGTGCATGTCTCCTTGTTGGTCTCTGCATGCGCGGGCACACGACCCGGCGCCCTGGCTGGCGTGTGTCGACGGTTACTGTCAGCATTGCTGCTGCGTGTCTTGGGAGGGAAGGCATGGGCTCATTGTGGGCGACTCCAGAGGTGGAACTGGGAGAGAGGGTGACGGTCCCAGGAGGCACGCTCCGTGCATGAGAAGGGCTCCCTTTTTTCTGTATCTGCCCCTGTCTTCCCTTCTGTTTTTACCCCTCCCTTTTCTGTCCTTGCTGTTTACTTCTTCTTCTTTGTTCCTCTTCTTGCCTCATCCTTTCCTTTTGAAAATGGGAAGGAGCCTGCCCTGCGGCTCAGCCCGGCCCGTGGTGAGCTCCATGCTCAGAGCCAAGGGGCTGAAGTGGTGACAGAGTTGGAATTGCTACCACCAGAGGAGGGGGCTGTGTGTGGGCGTTTTGTGTCACGCCTGTCGCCCACGGGGCTAGGTAGACATGATCCTGGGAGCCCACCAGAGGCCCCACCCCTTCCCGGCCTCATTCCTGGGCGCAGCTGGCCCACTGGCTGACAGCAGTGTCCCTCTCAGGCAGTGAGGCCAGGGTGCGGAGCGTCCGGAGCTAGAAATCACTTTCACACTGTCTGCCTTTGCTCACGTCTTCTTAAAACCTCAGTGCCCAGCTCGTGGGCAGGGATGCCGAACGAGGCTGCAGGTGCCCCAGCCATCTGGCTTCTGAAGGAGGGAGGATGGTTGCAGAGAGGAAGGTGCCCACTGGGAGAAATGCCGCCAGGACCCGGCCCAGGAAGGCCCAGCCCGCCCTGTTTGTTGTCCTCGCCGCCACTCGGCTCTCAGAGCAGCTGCTTGAAGGCGGCCCAGAGGGGCAGTCAGGCCTGCCCCTGCCCAGGTCACATTTGGCTGACCTCCCCCTCGGCTTTCCCCACGTGACCCCTCCTGCCTGGTGTTTTATGTGAAGCTGAAGCCTCTGTTTGCAGAATGACAATGTGTGCCATTGAGAGCGGGGCCCGGCCTGAGCTCAGGAGTTGTTTACTGGCGGGACTTTGCTGACGTGATTAGTTACTGCTTCTCTGAGACCAGGCTTGACTACCAAGCGCTGGTTGACTCCCAGCGAGGCCTGAGCTGTGCATGGCCCTTTAGACACAGATCACATGTATGTGAGCAAAGATCTCAGGAAAAAAGCGATAGTTAAAAAGATGACCCACGGAATGCCGTGCCCCTGGGCGTCCCAGTCTTGCTGTATTTTTAATTCTGAGCTAGTCGGCTTGCAGGAGCAGCCGGCTGTATTTCTCAACAGTGCTTCAAACAGAAACGAGGCGTTTGTGAGGAGGTTCGGGATGCTGCAACAGAGGTTTGATTGATGGCAGCTGCCCACGCGCTGAGTCCTCCAGCCTCCTGGAGGAGAAGCCCCAGAACAGGAGCAACTGTTGTGTTAGCAGATGTGTGAGGGGCCCAAGAAAGCTGGCCGGGGGCGGCGCGGCGTAGGGGAGCAGCCTGAGACTAGAAGCTCTGCCGAGAGTTGATCCAGGACTCGTCTCCGGGACAGCCGGGTTGGCTGGGGCTGTGGGGGCTCTGCGGGGTAAGGCACTGGTGCCAGAAGCCATCAGAGGGGTATCACAGACACTCATCGGCAGGGCGTCCCTGGGTCAGCCTTCCACTCTCCGTCTAGCTTGCCAGTGGGGGCTGCCTTCCACCAGGGAGGGGCCCTCCTCAGCCACCATGTGGGGTGGCCCTTCACACCCCTGGCTGCGTGACCTCCCTCCTCAGGCGGCCCCAGCAGCCCCAGCCAGCTGTGCTTTTCCTTGGCAAAGTCCCTGGGCTCAGGCCTGGTGTGTCCGAGCCTTCGTAGCCTCCTCCTGTCTGCACTGGCCCCGGCTGGCCGCTGGGCTGGTTTTCGTTTTCTGCTGCCTTGCACGCAGAGACCATTCCTGCTGCCCTGGAGGACGCACTGACGGCGGAAGAGGCCCTCAGCAATGGGCCGCCCCGTACAGCACAGAGTACAGATGGTCACAGAAAGCCCGGGATTGCTAACTGGAATGAAATAGATGCTTAATAAAAGTAAA